ATAAACGACCCGATTAATTAGCCAAAATAATATTATGAAAACCTCGAGATTTGGCAAATAGATGCCCAAATCTTTTAGCCATCTATAAGAAAAATCTCCAGGCTTCCATGATATTATTTTTTTTTAAATTTCAATCGGGTCATTTTTTAAAATAATGAATAACTATAATTCAATTTTTTTTTTTTAGAAAAAAGGATTTTTATTAAAAAAATTGAAACGCTAAGATTAAAAAAATATTACATATCTTGGGCCTGCAATAAATAGATTTAAAAACTTGCAATAAAATGTACCAAAAAAACCCAACCTAATAGTCCCCCTCCCCCGGCATCTTAGCTATATCTATGCACGATTGTGCTAAACAGAAGTATAATCACAGAGCCTTTTAAGATCCACCTTTATGAGAAAACTATGCTACGTTTCGGAAGTCTTCAGTCAAAAATGTGACTATCATAAATATCTTTCGCGTTTAAAAGTGAATTGCATTTTATGAAAATATTATATATAAATTATGCATAATTTGACTTAATTCAGTCATTTCTCTAGATCATATTCTATGCTTCTTATTCGTGAATATTGTAAAAATGACTAATCTAGTTTGTTATTTTTTTAAATCTTAGCAAATTGGGGGTTTCCGCTTTTGATTTGGCCCTAGGTTGCCAAAGATTTTATCATGGCATTGCTTCGATAAGTAGGATGTAGGATGCTGTATTGTTATACTGCATGTACCAAATTTTTTCTTTAATCTTCTTACCGTATTCATATCATTAATAACTTTTATTTAAAATGAACAACCCTCTTTTTATTTGCTACTTTTAATTTAATTAATACCTCTTCATAGGACTAATGCCATTTTGGAACATTATAAATATTTGATATCAAATTCTCAAATATATCCTTTATCAATCCTGCTTCAACAATATCTCTCTTATATTTCCCGCTTCCGACATATCTAGCCCTATATGCCATATTATCACTTTTCAATCTCCATATTTAGGCTTGCTTGTTATCTCCAGGAAGGTTTTTTTTCAAAAATCGATTCTCTCATCATATTTGCAATCAAATATTAACTTTTTAAAGATTACTCATTAAAATCGACTCTCCTAACTAATGGTATCATGCCCCCTTTTTTAAAACAATTTTACCATTTATTTCGATTCTAGCCTAAAACAGAGGGACCTCCTTTTTCTACCCATAAAATATTTCTACAAATAATATATGACGGGCAGCGATATCTTCACCAGTTAATATTTTATAAATCTATATCATTTTTTTTTATTTCCTACCTAAAAACCATTATATTATTACCTACGTGTCTATTTTCAGCACGTATGAAAGATTTAATAAATCCTAATGGCGATTTCTATGACAATTATTCTGTCAATAACCTTTATGACTTATTCTCACTTATCACAATACCATCCCATGGATTTCTATTATAGTAAATTTATCAATCTTGCTTTTGAACCTTTACACTTCTTTTTTCTTCACACGCAGAGATGAAATAAGGAATATTTGTTTAAAGGATTGACACTAATTAAGAGGACTTTAAATTTTTTTTGCATATAATATTAATTTAATTATCATATCAATAATTGATATATATTCCGCAAATTATATATGGATAAATTGTTGTAAATAACTAATTTATTCGATATTCGCTCATTTTTTAATTATAATTTACTAATTTCATATATAATTCGATTTAGGCCAGCTGGAATTAATTTGAGACTGGTTTCCAAACTTCCCACTCCATAGATAAGGCTATGTACACTAGAAATATCAACCATGTTTATCAGATAATTCACTAATATTTCCTATTAAAATAACTGATATTTATTTTAAAGACCCAAATCTAAAATTGTGGACGATCAACTCATACATATCAAACACAATAATGATCCAATACTATACACATCCATTGATAAGAAGGCCCTCCTTCGTTTCTATCCCATGTTTTTATGGGCAGCGTTCATTTAGTGGTCATTGTTTTTTTAAAGTCCGATGCCATCTAACGACAACCTATTTGATTTCCTTTTAAAACTAGAAGAGTAAACGATGAGCCTATTTCATCCCAAAACAAAATGAACTGTAACTTTCCATTTTTTAACCGAAAGTCGCTATCATTAGAAATTAAAATTTCCAAAAATAGTTTCTCTACATCATGCACTCTTTATTTATTTTATTTTTCTTAAGATACCTTCTCAAGTCATGGAACCAAATTTAAAAAAAATCCTTTTTTTTGGCTTTATAATAAGAGATCTTTCAATACTATTATGAGTTTAAAACTCTCTAAAATGTAGTAAATTTATTAAGTCTAGGCGGAAATTTCTTAAAAATTAAAAAATTTATTTTTTTTAAATAAAAAATTTATAAAAGAAAAACAATTAAAGGAAAAATATTAAAAATGACAATAATAATAATATTAAGTTTAATAAATATTTAAAAAAATGGCAAATTAATCATTTTTAAATTAAGAAAAAAAAATCAGGTGATATGCTCGAAGATGAACACGTGGCGGAACCTTTCCTTCACGAATTTCCGGTAAGAAGCGTTGAAAGAATAATTGATTAAAGAAAGGCTACTGATATAAATGAATTCCAAAATGCTCAATATCGTTTGAATTTAAATGTTGTACTAAAGAATCCATAATCATATCAGATAGTGAAATGGGTATGAGTAAAATTAAGAATCCGACAGTCAACATTATTAGTATTCGATAGCTTTTCTAGTGAATCTAGGCGAATGATGAGGTGAGGATACATGAAAATTTCTCTCATTTTTGTTTTTCTATGTAGAAGGAGCCATATCTTGATCTTGAATTTAAGATCTTCTAAGTTTTACCGCGCGACCATAATTATTCGAAAAGCTTAGGAGATTATTTTTTTGAATCTTTTATTCCTTATGATGCGCAAAAGGGAAATATTTTTGTCCAGAGCTCTCTAAGGATTTGGTAAGTTATCCTCTTCCTCTTTTCGGCCCAACTTAAAGGAGAATATATATTATATGTATACACGGCAAACGATTTCGAAATATTTTGCGAGGTGTTTAATTTTGAAGGGTCATAAATAGCTGATCGATGCCTACATTCATCATAGTAAACGTTTGTTTTTCAACAATTAGCCATTTATATGTAGGAATATACCAGATAATCGAATATATGGCGCAGATTATTATCAAGGCTCTGATTCTAAATAAGTTCAATAGAAGCCTAAAATTTCACTGCTATAATCTGATTTATGAAATAGAAGAAGAGAGCCCAAAGTTATAAATGGTTTATACGTAGGATAATGGTTCCTCGCCAAATAATTAGTCAATTTAAAATTATTAAACCAGCTGCCTACTTTAGCAAGTGTCAATTTGCCTTTTATGCTTTTAGAAATACTTATTAGGTCATATACTATAAGTCTAATTCCCAACACGATACATTTAAGCTGAAAGATGTTGGAGTTAACAAATTTATCATTTTTCATTATAATCCCATACCTGTGTTTGTGTACATTAACGTGTGGATGCAAATATTATATTAAACAATTTTCCTTCGTGCTATTAAGATATTAATTGGGATTTATAGAGAATATTAATATAATTGTGAAGGATACGCAAAGAAAAAGCTTTTTTAAATGCAATTAATATTTTTTAAATTGTTTATATATCTTAATTGCAATTAATTAAGAAGTCTTTCCCTTTTTTTTTGAAGAGATAGATATATATTTTTTTAAATGAATTTAATTTCCCTATTTATCATTGTTTATATCTCAAACCCAAATAATATTTTGCGTATAATGGTAATTATTTATAATTTTTTCTAATCAAAAAAAATTATAATTTAATTTTACTTAATTAAAAGAGTTTAAAAAAAAATATAAGGAAAATTTTATCGATCATCAATATTTAAAATGCTCCTAGTTATGATAAAGGTATAATGAAATTGAGAATGTCGCGAACTCCAAATTTATGGAAAAAGACCATATCACTTGCTTAGGAAATTTTTTTACTTAGTGAAGATATGAAGTTAAACTGGAAAAATACTGCAGTTTTAAATTATTTTTATACTGTTATAAATTAAGTTTTGATTTCTTTTCTTATAACATTAAAATTAAATTTACTGGATATGTTAAATAATAAAAGCGATATAAGTTTTATAACTGTTATTTCTTATAAATCTAATTTAATAATGGATGGTTTTTGATCTTTAATATAATTAAATTATATTAAAAATAATTAGAATAAGAAAACTAAGAAATTAATAAATACTTTTTTCGCATAATAGATAAACAGACATTTTTTTTCCTCTAATAATTATGGTTTACTTGCTATAAATATTTTTATAAAGTAGCATAACTCTCAGTATTATTCTTTTTCGTAATCCCATACCATCTAGGATAAAAAAAGCTCAATTGCACACGAATTAAATATTTTTTAAAAAACGGCTTGCATCATTATAAGATTTTTAAAAAAAATATTTCTTTTTTGATATATATTTAAAAAAAAATTAATTATCAAATCTGGTGGCTGTATCATTTGGTAAATATTTACTGCCATCTATAATTTAAGTAAAATTTATTCAGGGACCCTGAACAAAGGCAATTTTATCTTCCTGCTCCGTTTTAGTCGTGCCCAACGTTCCGTGTTTGGGAACTTTCCGGAAAGCTTTCCCATAAATATCTAATTTTATTTCTACTTTATTGTATATATTTATTCTACACTATATACTTTAAGACATTTTCTAAAAGTTTGTCATTTATATTTTGTGCAATGATGACGTTAACATAAATTTGAGGGTCGAAAAATACTTTTCAATACTAGTTTTATAACATTTTTTTATTTTGCAAATATTAATTTTGAAATAAGATAGTTTATTTCAAATATGGATAAATATTATAGTCTTAGCTCTTAAAATTACATAATGATACTAAATAATGGATAATATTATTATTATGTGAAGCGAAAATTGGAATTAAAAAGAAAAAAAATCGAATATTTATGAATGAACCATTATATAAAATTATGTAATAAATTAAATTTTTAATATCGTTGTATGCTCATAATATTCCCCAAGTTATGTTCTCGGAAAGTAATGAGAACGTTCTGTTCCAAGCTCCTCCTTATAATTAATAAATAAACATGAAAGGTATTAGCTATATCTGTTAGACTATCCTAAAAAAGATATTTTTGCGGAAAATTATAACAAAAAAATATATATCACTTGGTAAATAAATAAAGACTTTAACTCGAAATTATATTACTGCCTCAAGATTCGCCAAAGTAGGCGGGAAATATCAATATCTAATTTTATATTGGTATTGTTGCCAGCCCTATATTCTCATAAATTATGAATTAAAAAGAAAAGGGAATTCCCTGACAAGGATTTGAACTCAAGGACCTTATTTTGGATAGCATTGAAAATAATATTTTAATTATATTTTAACCCTACCCCATATCTCACTAAACCTTTTTAACCTAAACTAACACATTTATTTAATCTTTCAATCTTATCTTTTTTTCCTTAGCCTTCAGGAAGCTAAAATTCACCATTTCGTTTTCGTTTTTTAAAGCCCCTCAGTCAATCTGAGCACGACACTTCATAGGAAATAGGAAATTTTTTCAATAAAAATCTTAACTATTTTTTTTAGGAAAATAAACAATAAATTCTTCTGATTCCTTTAAAATATAAATGCAATAATAAAAATGAAATTAAAAATCATTAGGCTTATATTTATATTATTTAAATAGATCCTCAATATGTTTTAATTATTTTTTTACCATAAAATACTATCAACTAACACTGATAAAAAATATTTAAAAAATCGACTTATTTTTCGCGATCAATCAAATCATGACTGTATTACTGCTAAACTGCACTGTCCTATTTGATTTATTCAATTTCGATCCTAGGTATATTGCCATTTACAAATATTGCGGTTCGATTCTCTTTATTTTGGGTGTCCTAGGAAACACTCTGGGGTTTATAGTCGCAACTCGCGTAAACAAGTATCATGTCAAGATGCTATTTAAAAAGCTTATTCCAAATTCCGTTATGACTTTTAATGGAGTTTCTGCCCAAGGACAAGTGCCAGTCATTGCATTGTCCGAAAGCTCGCTTTATCACTCCCCGAATTCTAAGGATGAAATTGGGATCAGAAAACGTTTACAGGCTCAAAATTTATCCATTCAAGGATATAAAATAAGGCGGCTTACTAATATAAATCAGTACTTGTTAAAATGGTTTTTTGTGGTGAATCTATTCAATGTATTTAGGGCGTTAGGAGTGAGGCTATTGGAAATCTTTGAGATCGGTCGAGTAATAAAAATTTATATAGACCCTAGAAAAAATCGATCTATATCTTCCTCGTGGATAGATGATTTCGGGTGGACATTTTATACTTCAAAAATTCATTTCCCTTCCACGAATCCTTTTATAATTCTTGGCTTTATGATATACGTGTTATTTTTCCTGAGTCAAATGATAGCTATTAATTTTCCATTTTCTTATAAAAGAATTTTCACCCTAAGGAACGTAAGAATAATGATTGTGATTTGTTTTGTTTACGGTTTTATATGGTACATTCCAACTTTTAATTGGTCAGAAATGATAACCATCCCTATTTGCCCCTACAAATCGAACGATTACTTATTTCATAGTTTAGATGGTAACCACACATATTTTCACAAGTCACAATTTTCGGCAAACTTGTCGAATCCCATCATCTTTCACACTCAAGTCATTAAACGTGTACGTAAACCCATTTTAAAAGAACTCTGGGTTGCGTACCAAGTTTGTAGAGAATTATTCACAAAAATATTTCCGTTCATCGCCATAATTATACTCAAGACTATGATACTTAGGAAGGCCCATACGGTAAGGCCTAGGAATGTAAATAGGACTTCTCGCAGCGAAGGAAGCGGGTTTCGCGATTCATCACGTTACCAGCGAAGGATTTTGAAAGAGAGAAAACAACATTTAAAAACAATATTTATACTTAGCATAGAATTTGTGGTACTCCTGCTGCCCATCTCGATATCTCAAGCCATGATGGATTTGTTGATCAGGAGATTAACATCGAGGGATATTTTAATATGGCACACTATTTTGAATATGCTGGAATTCTTTTATATAAGTTGTACCTTCTTTATTAATTTCGCGTTCAACGATATTTATCGCCATTATGCAATTCAGAGATGTCGTTCTATATTTCTCTAGTTAGGCATGTGGGTGTAATTCACTAATTTTTCCTGGCCTTCCCACTCTTATCATGGTGGTATTATATAATCATTGATTTATGCTACCCATTACCAACTAATTTTTTAAATAATATGATGAACACGCTATATTAATATACAAATGAGTTTTAGATAAAAATAATTTAAATATTTTCTTAGCCTTCTTTTAGAATGTTTTATAGTTTAATCGAAGTAAATTATATTATATAAATTAATAGAATTATTAAAATAAATCATATAGAATTTCCTTTAGAACTATTTTAAAAAAAATATTTATCATAATTTTATGTAAGGAATATTCTGTACATAATATAAGGTTGTTAAAATAGCATATAAAGATTTAATCTTTACTTGTATGTATATGAAAGTATCGTAATTTTTTTCTATTTATATCTTGCATCGCTGATAAAAATTTTCAAGAGTATCTTGTATTTACTGGTATCTAAAAAATTATAAAAAAGTATTCATAGCCAAAAATTTCAAATAATCAACAAATTAAAATTTTTTTTTTGTAATCACAAGAATTAAATTAAGAATTTATTGGAAAATAAACGAAACACATCAGATGGAAGTAATAATAATATCAAAAACAATATAAAGGGAAACATTGAGGAATCAACACTACAGCTAAAAATGATACGTTGGCATTATTGAGAAATTGCTCTTATTATATTTATTAATATACTGGAAAATTCTCGAAATTAATCATTTAAAAATCAAAAATTATTAATTACAAACGCTTGAATTTTTTTAAAATAATTAAACTTATTCATTGAATGATTTAAGCGCATGTTAAACGAACCACACTAGGAAATCGAAAAGTCAATCTGTTATATGCATCTCCAAGCCATCACCACTCTACATCATGGATGGACTCTTGAGGAATGCAAAATTGTGAAGGCACTATTGCTTTTCATGTAATTAGCCGGTATCTTTTCAACCCTTGACCCCATTGAACTATACAGTTCAGATGTCGCGCCTAGATGAATAACAAGCCCCTTGGAGGGAAGGACTATCTTAATACATTATCAGTATCCCTTTAAAATTAAATCATTTTCTATTTTTACCAGAGGGTACAGTGTTAAGGCATAGAAAGCATGGTATCTGTAAAAAACTGGGCTAGCCTCCCTGCGGGGATGTTAGGCACTCCTATATTAAACATTTTTAGATCCCCATCAATCCACAAAGTAAATAGATAAAAGTAATTACACCGGCTAAAGTGTTAGTAAGACCGGCGAAATATTTACCGAGTAAAAAAAACAAGGAAAGACTTAACCCATTAACCCAAGAACAACGATATAAGGGTCGATTTCAAAAGTAGGTTATTACACAAAAATAATATAACCGTTTATAGATTTTCACCAAAATTAATACATGTAAACGTTTAAACATTATATAGTGTATTAATTTTTATAATTAATATATACATACTATTTGTATATTATATTATATATCGTTAGTTTATATCCCTCGAATGTGAAATTGTAAGCATACAATTATAAGTTTTTAGAAATTTTTTTCTTAAAAGTGAGTCACGAGATTCTTAATAGTATAAAAAGGAAATAAATAGAACCAAATTAATTTTATTACAGGTTAAAGGTAGAAACGGAATTAAAAGCAGGGAAACCCTGTCCATTTAATAATTATTTATCAAAATATTAATTATTGCTTAAAAGCAACCGTTTAAATTATATTCATAGTTATGGTGAATTAATACATTGTTGCAGCACATAATTTGAATCTTGTCATAAATGAGTTTACTAGGAACATTATCCAAAAATCCTTTATTTTTATGTCATTGTTAAAAAGAAAATCACATCTTCATACTTAATGGAATAAATTAAAGATTTTGAACCTTCTAAAATCTTAAAACACTAAAAAATTTATGCCAACCAGGTTGGTAACCCATATATTATTCACTACCGTCCATATGTTTTACATTATTCATGAAGAATATAATGAAAAAGTTTTAATTTTATATTAATCTGTGAGCGATTAGAAAATAGCGTTCTTTCAAAATATTTGCAAACTATTAATCTAAACTTAGAAATGCTACTATAAAGTGCACACAAATTGAACGTTGCGTTTTGTCGTACTTTTTTTTAAATAAAAAAAAACATAACGTATCCTTTGTTTAAATTGAGGTCGCATTTTTTATTAGTATCGTCGATTCCAGGTTCGGGTTCGTGGTCCAGAAAAATAAAAACTTATAAAATGAAATAATAACAGAAACAGACGTTTTAAAAGTTTTTTCTTAGGAATATAAACGGAGCTCCGAAAGTAATCAAAAATAAAGATCGGAAATTGATAATAAAGGAAAAAGAAATAATGAATAGATGGAAAGAATATTTTCAGGAGCTTCTCAACTTTAATCCACACATACTACATCTAGACGAACACTCCCCATGTCAAAACCTTGCACAACCTATAACAGAACAAGAAAAAATCACATGCCTCAAGCATATGAAAAACAACAAAGCTAGGGGTCCAGACGATATTCCAAAAGAAAGCCTTAAAGCACTAGGAGATGATAGAATACATCTCCTCAGAAATCTGAGCAATAAAATACTTGGAAATCAAGAGGTTCCCCAAAAATGGAGGCAGTATCTAGTTCCTATCTTCAAAAATAAAGGGCATCAACACAATTGTCAAAATTACAGGGGCATAAAACTAATGTCACACTGTCTAAAACTATACGAAAAAATAATAGAAAAAAGATTAAGACATAATCGAAATAGGAGAGACTCAGTTTGGTTTTATGCCTGGAAGATCAACAACTGATGCTATCCACGCAATTAGGCAAATGAGTGAAAAATACAGGGAAAAGAACAAAAAGCTACACATGGTCTTTCTCGATCTAGAAAAGGCCTTCGATAGAATCCCAAGAAAACTTATCTGGTGGGCGCTACGCCACAAAAAGGTTTCCGAAAAATATATAAGAATAATACAGGATATGTATATGGGCCATACAACAATGGTCCGTAGCACAACAGGTACTTCAGCAAGCTTCACAATAGCCGAAGGAGTTCATCAAGGGTCGGCTCTCAACCCACTTCTCTTCATTGCAGTAATAGATGTATAAGCAACCTCAAACAGTCCCGTGGAATATTATATTTGCAGATGATATTGTGATACTTGCCGAATCCAAAGATGAAATGAAAGAAAGATTAGTGAGTTGGATAAATATCCTAGAAAAGCGCGGACTAAAAGTAAATAGAGAAAAGACGGAGTATATGGTGATAGAAGATGGAGTATTGATATAAATGAATTGCAGATATCGGCAATTGAAAGCTGCAAATATTTGGGCTCCACTATACAAACAAACGGCACAAAAGAAAAAGAGATAAAGAGTAAAATTAATCAAGGATGGTTAAAAATTAGATCTTTATCTGGAGTGCTATTTGAAAAAGAATCCCATACAAATTAAAGAGAAAAATTTACAGTTCCATAGTACAACCAACTATTCTATATAGTTCGGAAACATGGCCAACCAAAGAATCAGACGAGAGAAGTCTACAAATTATGGAGATGAGAATGTTGAGGATGATTGCTGGGGTTACAAAAAAGGATAAAGTGCCCAGTGCAAGAATACTAAGTAGTTTAAAGGTAGTGCCCATTAAGACTAAGTTAATGATAAACAGACTTAGGTGGTATGGGCACACAATGAGAAGGCCTATGAACTACATAGGAAATAAGGTTGAGTTTGGAAGTGATGGACAAACGTAAAAAAGGAGGGCCATAACTTCAATGGAGCCATAAAGTTAGAGCCAATATAAAGAAATATAAATTAGATAAAAGAGATTGTATGAATAACATAAGGTGGAGAGAGATGTTGAAGGAACTTATCACCAGAAAAGGTGAAAGCTAAAGAGAAAAAAAATAAAATAAGATTAATTTATTAGTATAATCATAAGGGAATATATCTTCCAAAAATCGAGATTTTAAAATTTAAATATCGATTTTTTATACCTAATTTTGACAGTACATTGCAACTTGCATTTAATAAAACTATATTACCTTATGATTTTATTCTTTTCTTTGGTCTTACATTTAATTTATTTATCCAACATATAATAATAAATATTCCTAAAATATATATTATACATTTCTATTATAAAAAAAATTACAAAATATGCTTGGTAAAGTTTTAAAATTTTTACAAACAATCTAAATATAATGAAAAGGATTCCAAGAAAAATAATTTTCACAAAAAAATATTTTAAAAAATCATGCTTTATGCTAAATAATTTATACGTTTTTAAAAATTTAGTTTAATATTTTTAAAAAAAGTTATTGATGAACCTTACATTTTAATAAAGGGTTCGGGTTTAATAGGGTCACAGCCCTGATCCCCAATCTCATAAAAATATTTTTCCAAAAAGGATTCTGGATCTCAAATCTTTATTTTGGGAATTGGGATTCAAAATTTCAATATGCTCTATATTATATATTACTATTTTCTTATAACATTATAATAATCATACATAATCTTAAAACTCCATTATTCAATAAACCATATTTTAGGTAATTTTAATAAGTTAGAATTTTGAGAGATCTGCAAATCATGGCCCAGTCTATACCAGGCATAAATGGTGGCCAAGTCAGGTCTATTTTAAAAAATAATAACCCCCCCCCCCTTCTCTCCATTTTTTCAAAATTATAATTTTAAGTTAAAGATAAGAATTTAGAACAATTAAACTGCTATGACGGAAAAAAATTATTTTTTTTGAACAATATAATATAATTTGCATTTATATTGTTTTTATTCATAAAGTGTCCTTTTTATATCAAGTTAGAATTATAAAAAAAGTGGGTTATGTTTTCTAAGAAAAAGCCAAATGACTGAAGAAAGAACACTATATGACCAAAAAAGCTAAATATAAATATTATTTTAACTACTATTAAATCCAAAGACAAAGACCTATCAAAATTTTATGCCTGGCAGGATTACAATTTTTTTTAGTTTCTTTTTTAAATAATTTTGACCAAATTTAGTAAATCTTCTTAAAGGGAAATTTAAAAATTTTCTTTTCTCTTTAGCTTTCACCTTTTCTGGTGGTAAGCTCCTTCAACATCTCTCTCCACTTTATGTTATTCATACAATATCTTTTATCTAATTTATACTTCTTTATATTGGCTCTAACTTTATGGCCCCATTGAAATTTTGGCCTTCCTCTTTTACGTTTGCCCATCACTTCCAAACTCTCAACCTTATTTCCTATGTAGTTCATAGGCCTTCTCATTGGGTGCCCATACCACCTAAGTCTGTTTACCATTAACTTAGTCTTAATGGGCACTACCATTAAACTACTTAAAATATATGCAGTCAAAATTGAGAACAATTTTAAATAAAGTTAACAATTGTGCTCTTTACAAAATGAAATTAAAATACTTTTTTGTTTAAACAGTTTTGTTCAATTATATGAATACTTTTGATTACTTGACAAATAAAATTAAATTTTGAAGTTATTTAAAAATCAATAAAAACCTTTGATCTTTCCTTGATAGCTTTTAACATATCTTTATTATTTTTTAAATATTTGCATCAAATATAATTCTATTTAATAAATATTTCATTTTTAACATTAGCAGATTTTGTGTAAATAATAATAAAATAAAATGATGAGCAATTTTTTGTTATATTGTATGCCAATTAGTAATTGGAAAATTATGTCAAAGATTTAATAAATAATTGTTATAGATTTGAGAACATTTAAATGTGTTGAAATGAGAAAGGATATATCTAAATTGATATAAATATATATATATACTTAAATTAGATAAACTTTCATAATAACTCTGCTACAGAGCAAGCCATAAGGCAATTGGCCATAAACTCGTGAATCCAATGAGTTAGTTTTGTTATCTCCTTCAAGCCAAACATAACCTTTTGAAATCTAGTATATTGTGAAAAAATAATTAAATTAAAAAGATAAATTGATTACATGATTATTATTGTAAAGTAAATCGCCTTCAAGGCCTATAACCCTCTTACACACATAATTGTTAGGATTTTGAGGTGATTTTGATATAACTATATCATTTCTTTTAAAAATTATAAAAACAAAAAATCATCATTACTTTTCTATATTATTTAACAATATAGATATATGTTCGACTAGTACAATATCTCCAGTGTTTATAGTAGGCTGCATTGAAGACCCACTACACTATAAATAAATTTAATAAGGTGCATTATAAATATATAATTTATATATAAAAACGTATTTTCAAATAATAAAATTTTTAACTTGAACAATATTCCCTACATATTTTACTAAAATATGAATAAGTGAAGTTATTTGGACAGTAGTTATTACAGCTTTAAATAGATTCTTCATATATGAAAGATTATCTCTTTAAAAAAAATTCTGCATTCAAATGAAAATTGCAAATTGCACAATATACATAAACTATTCGAATCAGCAATATCAATCAAATTTAAATTCGTTTTTATTGGTCAGAAAAAGGCAAGAAAATAATTGGTGTTTTAATGTTATAAACAGTACCAATTATAGGAGGAGGGAGGTGCAGAGGCTCGACCTTCGTAGGAAGGTAATCTTAAAAATTAAAATTTTCTTGACGCCCCTGAGATTGTAAAGAGTGACGCCCCTGTCTAACCGCCATTGATATATTTCTATGGGGGGGGGGGGTGCCCTTCATAAAAAAATTAATAAATTATATATCTTATTCAAAAATAAAATAAAATAAAGAGAAAAATCATATAAATTATTATTATTTTATGCTATCTTCTAGAGTCTGCAACGAGCGGGGTTTTAACCAGTTCGCCCAAGCCCGTAAGTATATGGGCAGATTATGGTCAAATATTTTTAAAGAGTATGCAGGCGGGCATAATATAAAATAAATTTAAGCTATGGGTAGGCCAACGAATTAAAAAATTTTTACAATTGGCAAGCGGGGTAAAAATTGTTCAACTTTTATTTGTTATTTAAAATCATTTAAATAAACATTAAAAAAAATATGCTCTGCATTTTTAATAACAAAATACCGATAACTGAGTATATTGTCGTTGGAAGACATTAATGATGTAAAAAAAATACAAAGGAAAGATGATGGATTTAATTTGCATAGAATAAAACAAATGAATTACCCATTTTCCTAAAAGCAAAGAGAATTCAATTAAAGGGTATTAAATTATAGTGTAGTTTGAAAAACATAGCAACCCCGTCAATTGTAAGCCACATAGATGGGAGGATGAAGTTAGTACAGAGAAGAGCACCGCACCTAAAGACATAACTATTGTGTGTCCTTTCTAAGAATAAAAATAATTAAGAATAATTTTTTATTAAAATAAAATGGAAGAGAAAAATAATAATGAATTCCGTAGTTATAATATCTACTCTTTTATTTATATATTAAGATAAATAATAAATAATTCTTCAAAATAAAATAATATAGGACTCATCCTGAATCTTACTAATTTCAAAGTCAAATACTTACTCTGTTGTTACACAATCATATAGTGTTGTTAAACGGCTCGTTTTGAGCCAATTTTTAAAAACGGCTACTCAATATTTTATCTAGAATAATATTACGCAAGCCTGAAGATTTTTATAGAAGGAACAAAGGTTTGGACATATATTAGGGAAATCTCGAGGCTTGGGCAATATTTTTCTGGTTAAAATATTGAGTTAACCGTTTTTAAAAATCGGTTCAAAACGAGCCGTTTAACAACTGCAGCCATATTATTACGCGTAAAAAATATAATAAAGATTAAAACAATATATAGCAAAATAAAGAAAAATGTCACCGATCATAATAATAATCAAATATTTAAATCTTAAAGTAACGAATTTTATTTGTTAGTAAGATTTCAGGGTACTTAGTTTAGTTTACAATTTACAAACAATTAATTAAAATTTTAAATTACTTTTTTCATTTATTATTAATAGTTTCATTTTTTATTTAAAGATTTCACTTAAGAAAGAGGGTATACTTCAAACGAATATCCTATTTTGGTGAAAACGACAAGAGAAAGATTTATTTACCAAAGCTACTAAGATTAGCTATGAAAATATTGACCATTCCAATAAGAATTTTACATTGCTGTAAGGTTTTTGGAACAAAAAAACGTATTTGAATCCAAAAAATGTGGATTCATTATTATATTTGTATTATTACAAATAATATCAAAAATATTATTTCTTTAGTTTTCATAAATATTTTATTTTTCCTTGTAATTTTAATTGAATGTTTTATTTAATGTTTAATATAGTAATTATTGTAAACTTTTTTGCAAGGGTATAACTCTAAAAGTGAATCATGTTTTTTATTAGATACTTAAAAAAATTGAAAGAATTACTTATTTTTTATAGGCGGTAATAGTTTAATTTTTTTTTATAAATATTAAGCGGGCAGGTGGGTGGATCGGCGGTTTAAATTTATTTAAGAACATTAGCAGGGAGGGTTTGTAAACTAAAAACCTGTCCACTGGTAAACATATACTATGCTATTTTCTCTCACTGGGCTTCCATGAAAAAATAGATATGAATCATCTATAAATGAAGCAAAGAGAAAAAAAACATATATTATTCTCAGGGGTAGATTGACAATAAGAGACCAGGCAGATTTAGACCGATAAAAAAATGAAGAAAAGAGGACTATCAGAAATTTTTTTAAAAATATTTATTTATAGTTGTGGCTTTTCTATTATATTCATATATTTTATATTATTGAAGTTGTTTTATAATTATATTTCCTTTTTTTTATCATTTACAACGTCATATGAATACATTGAGGATTATCATTGATCTATTGTAATGATTTGCATCTAATTATATATATTGGACCACTGTTATAACTATTATGTAGGTTTTTTAAAAATATTTTTTTAAAAAAGCATTTCCATTTAAATGAAACTCAAGTTTTTATTAATTTTCGTTTTTGAGAATCTGTGCAAAATTAAAATTAAATCCTCTTTGATTTTGAAATAATGGGCCGGCTCTCAAACTAAAAATTAAGAAGATTTATGTGCTTGAAAAATGATTGAAGATGCCAAGTTCTGTATATTTTATAATCTTCACTTCCATTCAAAATAAAATTATAAAAATGTCTACAAATTTAGATAAAAATATTCCTGATTAAAAAGCTTCCAGATAACATCTGGATACAGAATAAAATGCTAAAAACTGAATTAAGAGGACATATAGTGATGAATACAAAGATGAACGACCAAAGATCCGATTAATCTATATTTTTAAAGCATTTCATCCTATAGTTACCCAAATTATTAATAGTTTAGCCAAACATGGGTGAATAAAGATCTTATCAATTGGAAATATTGTATCCGAAGCCTTTGGATGAAATAAATATATAAAATATTTCTGAAAAACCTTGAAGATAGTCCAAATGAGAAATGTATTTAGTGAAAATTACATGAATTGTGTTCATTTGCCCTTATTTACAAAAGTTATTAGGCGGATTAGTGATAGTGCAGACAATGATAGTGAGATTTAATGAGCAATAATATACAATCAGGATTGGGTATGATACTTAATAGAATTTATTACCTTTATAAAATATAACGGCTAAGTTACCATCGACATTTAAAAAAAGAGCTAATGGTTACGTTACCTTTATTTAAAACATGTAATAATTACAAAAAAGCTCTTCGTCACACATTATAAATTAGAGTAAATGAAAATAGAAAAATGCGATGAATAATTTAATTGTTAATTTTTTTTGTAAAGTCCAAAATAAAAAAACGAAAAATAATTTATTAATATTTTATTGTCTAAATAAAAATCAAATATTTTCATTTTAATACATTCGAGTTCGACAATGGAACAATTTTTCAAATAAAACATCTTTTTCTGTCCCTGTTTGATTTTGGGATAGGTAAATATGGATTGTAATGAATAAATATTTATATTATTGAATATTTATGCTGTATATTGATTTCAAATGATGTATCGATATATAGGATTATTTCAGTTTATCCTTGTAAACTGTAACCGTGAAATTATAAAAAAATCATTTTTATAATAAAAAAAAAAGTGATAATGTTTTTAAATGAAACTAGAAATAATCTGTTTTTCACAATATATATATAATAAAATTCATTTTTAACAAATTACTATCTACATCTTCATACCCCGTTTAAATTACTTTTTCAATGGCTGTCATTGTTTAAGAAAATAATAAAAAAAATATATAACTAAATGAAAAAGATTGAAAATGAAGAAATTTTATTCGCAGTTATATTGGATTCCCTTGTTTTCTAATAACCAATAGAGCCTAACATTTTAACGTTTAATATATTTTTATATATAAATATTTATCTTTGTTTAAAAAAAATCGTAAAAAAATGTTTAAAAAGTAACGAAAAACAAACGTTATTTTAAGTTACACAAACAAATTTAATGGTTACAGAAGCTCTTCGTTATATATAATGGGAGATATTTTATGTAACGTAACGGTAGTTGTAACTTTTTTGCATACACAAATGCATAAACTAATCTATTTTTTTTTGCCAGCATATTAGCAAATTATGAAAGAACATCTAGTAAATTTGAAATGATAAAAATATATCTGAGGACAAATATGGGACATGATTAATTGGAGGCATTTTTATTGATACCCTTTGCAAAAGAAGTGTTGATGCAAATATAATTATAATATTTGATTATTTGCGCCAATATTCGGGTTAATGTAAAATACTGCAAGGGCAGTGTTGAACCAGTCGGCATTTTATTAATTTTTTATTTGGATCAAGACTGCCACATTTGGTTGCAATATTTATTTACAAAAATCGTAATTTCCAGAAAGCTTATATTCTGCACTAAATATATTTTAAAAAATGGATTTTATTGCATTTAAAAAAAATAATTGGTTGTTGTTTAGCAAATTAAGTTGTTTAGAAAATCGCTATATGTAGACTTGTTTTTAAAATTAAACCAATATTGGTTTAATTTATTTGTTTTAATTCTATACGAGAAACTTTATTTGCAATATGCCTGATTTTATATGATATATGATTTAAATTTTATAGTGCAATATGTAAAAATTTTGCATAGGCAATTCAGAATATTTTATTATTTGCGTTTTTATATCTGTAATTAGTAGTGTAGTAAAATTAAATATGTTGTTATCATATGTGCCTTTTACTTAAATAATGTGATAACTATATATTGTGATTAATCCATTGTTTTCATGTATTTGTCCAAAAATATAACGAAATAATAAAAACACGTATAATATGAATAAACCATTAAAGAGATCCCAACAGAATTCTGGGTAAATGCCGAACGAAGGCCTCCAAATGGAGGGGGGTGGTGAATATAGGGGCAAAGCCCCCATAAAAATGAAGCCACTGGAAAACATTACCCAAGAGACGGTAGCACAGTCCGCTCCTGTTATTATTATGTTGCAATGCTCTCTCCTCCCTAGCTGGGCCCCCATAAATAGAGATGAATTAGA